AATCAGTACATATTTTAAAATTTCACCCAGAAATGATAAATGGTTTTGTCCAGAATGAAAGATGTACAAGTCCATTTTACATATTTTAGCGTTGTGAGGGTTAAAATGCTAGTTTTTTTGTATGGATGTTTGTGATGCATGTTTATTTATAGCCCATATTGGCGACTTAATCCAAAAGACTCTTAGTACATACTTTTTGGCCAAGTGAAACAAAAATACTCCATATTTATCTGGAGAAACAAGTGCCGATTGGAACCTCGTTTTTCAAAGTCTTATCCGCAACGCGGGATTGAACTCGCGTCCTTTCGTGTCTTTCCGTTGACAGAGTTAACCGCCCTTTACTGTCAAATATGTAATGAAACCAAAATTTATATAATTTCATCATACATCAATCAGGGATGGTTTTTTTTCATTCTTTAAATCAAAACCAAAGCGATAGATCAGAAACAAAGACTTGTGTTCTTTTCATGGGACATTTTTGTGGTTTCATAGCCCATGAAAGTAGAAGATGACGTGTAATTTAACTTGTCGGGTTTTCAACTTCAAATTCATGATAATGACATAAAGCATGATGCGAGCAGACGACACTCCAGACAGATGCACGCGATGACCCTTTTTTTCTTTTCATTTTTAGAACAATCATGAATCAGACTTCCCTGGGATGAAATTACATCTTGTTACATATACCTCATGCAGACTTAACCATAATGCAATTTTATACACTCTTTTGAAGTTTGCGCGGCCTTAGTCTATAGTTTTTATTCATTGTGCAATTATAAATTTTCCATTCTAAATTTTTGCTGAGCACAGCATTATTTTTTTCTATAGACCTAAAACGAGAGGACTTGAATATCACAACGTATTTATTTTGCACACGGTCCAAAAATATAAGGAAACATTGTTTAATTGAAACATTGCAACGTTTCAGGCATTCGAAATGGCAATAAACTGAAAAATAACAACACAACAAAAAATATCAACACCAACAAAAACAACAACTTATTGGACAGTATAACGTCTTGGTAAAAGGTAGATACTCATAGTTTACCTTTTAACAGTTTAAGTTGTTTTTCAACGAGAAAAATCAGTTCACCCTGATTCAATTTTAAAAAGGAGAATGAAAAAAAATCCTAAATCCTCTTTCACACTTTAAACGTGACAAATGACTTGATTGTAAACTGTTGTATTTGACTGCTTTTTGACTAGAAGTCGCGTATCACATGCTGATGTATTTCTTATGCATAGTTTGTTTTGTCGTTTTGCGGGGCTTTACTGCAAAAAATACAAAAAAGTTAACCGCATTTTCGTAATTTCTAGCATTTCGCCTTTTTCTGCACCGTTACCATCACCCCCCCCTACCCCTCCCCTACTGGGTCGCAGATTTGTATTTGTCGCGATCAAAGATTACATCGATGCACCGGTACATAATACCATTGACTCAACCAAATATCTTTCCCGTTTCACTCCTAAATAGAATAAAAAAGATAATTTTATCTACGGATAAACTTTTGAACACTGAGTCATACGCCTTAAAATGACATTTACACCTCATGCTGGGCGCACCAGGGACCATGAAAATGTTGTCTTTCATCCATGTGTGTTTACCTAGTAATTACGGAAGTTTTTCCTCAAGTTTGTGCCAGTTACCACTTCACGAGTGTCTAACCCTATTAAGCTAATTTTGTTCGGGTTGAACAGGATACGCTAGAACCTGTAGCTACTATAATGAGTTGTTTTAGCCTTTTCCCGTGTTTTCGTATCTAATGTTCTAATGTTTTTGTTTCTGGCTACTTATCATGTGATGTAATTGTTAAACAGATGGATAGTGTTTTTTTTTGTCTGCAGCATAAATTATTCGGTTGAAGGTCACTTTGCTATCGAGCTGTTGTGCAAACTGTTGGTTATATGTTAAAAGTTTTAGGTTATATGCTAAAACTTTTAACATATACCAGACAGTGTACATATAGAATGTTATATACATGTATATGGTAGATCTTATTTTAGTACATGGGTACGCCTTTTTTCCAAACTGAAATTATGATCGTTCAACTAAATTTATAACACAATTATATCATAACTGTTTCCGTGTTCTTTTAACAAAGTGATTTAGAATCTCAGTTTATTTTCCGTGTAAAAAATGCGGCTTTTTTTCGGAATCTTCCTTCGCCTTGATTTTGTAAACGTATATAAACATGGTTTATAATAAATATTTCTTGTCTAAGATCTTAGGAGCGTAATTAAATATACGATATTAGGAACGTTGTCATGTCAAATGACGTCATATATGACGTCAGTCAAACGACTGACCGAAGCAATGTACATCTAAGAATAATCGTCACGTATCTATAGCATTTTCTTTGAGCATGCATTACTGTGCATACCGGGGTATCATAATCAAACATTGTTCATGTAATAATGAACACTTAAACCAATACCAAAAAGTGCAGAAATATTTCTTAAATGAAATTATTTCAAGTTATATTTTGTAATTTGAAAGTAGACGTTAATGCCCTTTTAGGTAAGAATACATCATGAGAAAGATGTCCCGCCTTATTTTCTTAACACCATGATTTTAATGATGACATCTTGCGGCATCTTTTTGATACAAACTAATTTCGTCAACTTTAAACTTTTGACCGTGTTTTACTGATTTTTGTTTGAGATAGACGTCTGGTTTTGATGTAGATTTTGAAGCCCCCTTTATTTATATAAAGAAAATTATATACCATACCACCATACTTTTTTATCTTTAAAAGAAATTACGAAACTTATTAATTATTTACCATACAACATATTATTATTAAGATTTAGAAGAATACACGAAACTTCACATTATGTTTTATATAAGGCGTGGACCTAGTACTTGAAACTATTTTATGTATTTAATGTACATGTCATTTTTAGCTCGACTATTCGATAAGAATAAGTAGAGCTATTGCAGTCACCCGAGCGTCGGCGTCGGCGTCGGCGTCGGCGTAACCACTTATGTTAAAGTTTTTGTAATAGTTCAAATATTTTCAAAGTCCATTGACATATGGCTTTGAAACTTTGCACACTTGTTCACCATCATGACCCCAACCTGTAGACAGGAGGAGGTAACTCTATCAAGCATTTTGACAGAATTATGCCCCTTTTTCGACTTAGAATTTACGTTAAAGTTTTTGTAATAGTTCAAATATTTTCAAAGTCCATTGACATATGGCTTTGAAACTTTGCACACTTGTTCACCATCATGACCCAACCTGTAGACAGGAGGAGGTAACTCTATCAAGCATTTTGACAGAATTATGCCCCTTTTTCGACTTAGAATTTACGTTAAAGTTTTTGTAATAGTTCAAATATTTTCAAAGTCCATTGACATATGGCTTTGAAACTTTGCACAACTTGTTCAACATCATGACCCCAACCTGTAAACAGGAGGAGGTAACTGTATCAAGCATTTTGACAGAATTATGCCCCTTTTTCGACTTAGAATTTACGTAAAAGTTTTTGTAATAGTTCAAATATTTTCAAAGTCCATTGACATATGGCTTTGAAACTTTGCACACTTGTTCAACATCATGACCCCAATCTCTAAACAGTAGGAGGTAACTCTATCAAGCATTTTGACAGAATTATGCCCCTTTTTCGACTTAGAATTTACGTTAAAGTTTTTGTAATAGTTCAAATATTTTCAAAGTCCATTGACATATGGCTTTGAAACTTTGCACACTTGTTCACCATCATGACCCCAACCTGTAAACAGGAGGAGGTACCTGTATCAAGCATTTTTTTTACTATCAAGCACTAAGAATAGTCGAGCGTTGCTGTCCTACCGACAGCTCTTGTGTTTATCATCATTTTTTATTTTCTATTCGCTGAAGAATAAATCCACAACATGAAAAAATCAGCTAATAAATTAAAGTAAAGCTAGCATGACAATAAATAATGTCGTAAACTTGTATTTTATTTGTCTTATTTACAAGACAATAAATGTTCAACCATTGACACGTTGATTTTGACGTTGTAAATCCTAACGTTAATTTTTCCGTCTGCTGTTTGTTTACATAGATGAGGCAAAGTTTGACACTTTCACGAGGTTAAGTGACGGAAAGCATCGATAATTGCTGCCACATTGACAATAAATAAATCAGTGATTATTATAGCGTCCAGTCATTAGTAGCCTGTGCATATCCGAAATATATTACAGTTTGTGCCGCGCTTGTTTCCGGAAGTGGTACGGCTCTAACATGGCAATTAGATAATGCTTGATTAAGGTCAAGCTGCTGTGTCAATTTTCCCATTGAGAAATGGTCCCTTGACCTACCTTAAAATATTGAGTTTTTACGCTAAAGGTTAAATGCCTGACACATAAAAATGATATTATCATAAAAGTTCCCCCCCCCCCTCTTTGTCATGGAACATTAATAGGTAATACAAGAAACGTTCCTGCCAATTAAGTTTCATCAGCATTGGGCTGGAATATGTTATAGAATATCCTTCAAATTAATAGAAATTATTGAATAATGATAACAGCGAAGGCTCTCAACATTGATTGATTGATCGATTGATTGACTATTTCTCAGTATATCGGTATAACTTTAACGATGTCGTCTTTCTACCTTGATTGATTGATTGATTGACTGATTGATTGATAATTTTTTCAGCATATCGGTGTAACAACAACAGTTTAATATTTCTATATAAATTGATTGATTGATCGATTAATTAATTGATTGATTGATATATTTTTTTTTGCATATCGGTATAACAATAACAGTTTAATCTTTCTACATATCAGATTGATTAATTGATTGATTGATTATTTTTCAGCATACTGGCATAACAATAACAGTTTAGTCTTACTAAATTGATCGATCGGATAATTGATTGATCGATATATTTTTTTCTGCATATCGGTATAACAATAACAGTTTAGTATTTCTACATTTATTGATCGATTGATTGATTGATAAATTTATTTATTTAGTTAATTAAATAATTTGATTTATTATTTTCAGCATTACATGATTCCTTCTTTGGATCAACGTATATATATAAAGACTGGCAAGATGAATACTCAGACCTCACGAGTGCAGAGAGTAGGTCCCTCGCAACGAATCTCACGAAATGGGTAAGTCAAAATATGTAAGCCTCCAACGAAACCCCCTTTCCCTCCTAACCCCCTTTCCCACGCAACGAATCTCACAAAATGGGTAAGTCAAAATATGGTAACCTCCAACGAAACCCCCTTTCCCTCCTAACCCCCTTTCCCTCGCAACGAATCTCACAAAATGGGTAAGTCAAAATGTGTAAACCCCCTACGAAACCCCCTTTTCCTTGCAAGCTCCTTTATCTCGCAGCAACGAATCTCACGAAATGAGTAAGACAAAATATGTAAACCCCCAACGAAACCCCCTTTTCCTCACAACCCCCTTTCTCGCGCATCGACGAATCTCACGAAATAGATAGGACAAAATATTTAAACCCAAAACGAAATCCCCTTTCTCTCGCAACCAATTTCACGAAAATGGTTTGTCAAAATCCGCAATACTCAAAACTAAATCCACTTACTCTCGCAACCTCTCTCACGAAATGGGTAAGTCAAAATATGTTAACTCCAACAAAACTCCCTCTCACTCGCAACCAATCTCACGAAATGGGTGAGTCAAAAAATGTAAAAAATGTAAAAACCAAATAAAACCCCTTTTCCTCGTAATCTCACAAAAAGGGTAATTCAAAATTAGTAAACCACCAAATGAATCCCATTTCCCTCGAAATCTCACGAAATGGGTAATTCAAAATCTGTAAACTCCAACAAAACCCCCTTTCTCTGGCAACCAATCTCACGAAATGGTTAATTCAAAATATGTAAACCCCCAACGAAATCACCTTTCCCTCGCAACCAATCTCACGAAATGGGTAATTCAAAATTTGTAACCCCAAACGAAATCCCCTTTTCACTCGCAACGAATCTCACGAAACGGGTAAGTCAAAGTCGGTAAACCCCAAACTCTCGCAACAAATCTCACTCAGTTGCTTGCCCAGAATTCTCTTCTTTAACTTATTTTACTCAACACGTCTTTCGTAACAAATCTGAATCTTTTGCTGCGAGAATTATGTCTATAAGAGACACGCTTCGGATAGGTTTTAAGAATTTTCTTAGTGACCTTTTATAAATTAAGATAATATATAAATTTGATATTAGCAGATATGTAGATACCGTTTGAAAGTAAAATGTTAACAGATTTTCAATTAAAATAATGTAGCAGAACCAGTTTTTCGTCATTTGCATATTTATGTAAGGAGTTCTTTCCAAAAAAAATAATTTAACATTTATTTTAAATTGGAATTGTGCATATTTTCACATGCAGCCATAGACAAATGTATAAGCTAACAGAAAGTGTAATATTTTACTGCATTTTGATATCTGGTTAATAAGTTGTACTTGCTACAAGTGTTAAGTTTAGCTAGCATGCCTGCTAGGAAGTTGCCTATCTCTGTCACCTATGTCACCTCATAGTAATATAATCATCTCAATTTATCATTTCAGTTGGAGTGTGCGTTTAACGACACTGATTTTACGGCAACAGTTACTATAACCGGTTTTCGGTAAGAACCACTTCACCTTATTTGTAAACTTATATGATTTAAATGACTAGCTGTCACAGCCGTGTCATCCCAATCAACAAATTGAACTTTGCACTTTATTGTCTTTAAAAACCCATCACGACATACTGATTTTTAGATGACCTTATCTTGTGTAGTGATGTTGCTCAGAAATGCTATCACATTTGATTTCTCAAAAACTGATTTTTAGCTCGACTTTTCTATGAAAAGGGGAGCTATCCTACTCGCCCCGGCGTCGGCGTCGGCGTCGGCGTTAGCGTTAGCGTTGGCGTCACACCTTGGTTAAGTTTTTCGTACCACCCCACTTTATTTCAGAAGTATTACAAGTATGGCTTTGAAACTTACCATACTTGTTCACCATCATAACCTCCATCTACAGACAAGAGTACATAACTCTGTCAAGGTTTTTGACAGAATTATGGCCCTTTTTTGACTTAGAAAGTGTATTGAGCTTGGTTAAGTTTTTTGTACCACCTCACTTTATTTCAAAACCATTGGAGGTATTGCTTTGAAACTGACCATACTTGTTTACCATCACGACCTTCATCAACAGACAAGAGGACATAACTCTGTCAAGGTTTTTGACAGAATTATGCCCCTTTTTGACTTAGAAAAATACATTGAATATGGGTAAAATCCACTTATTGCCTTAACCCTTTGAGATATTGCTTTGAAACTTTTAATGCTATTTCACATCATTACCCCATCTGTACGCAAGAGAAGGTAACTCTGTCAAGGATTTGTTTTAAAAATTAAGGCCTTTTATCGACTTAGAATCTTGGTTAAGTTTTTTGTACCACCTCACTTTATTTCAAAACCATTGGAGGTATTGCTTTGAAACTGACCATACTTGTTTACCATCACGACCTTCATCAACAGACAAGAGGACATAACTCTGTCAAGGTTTTTGACAGAATTATGCCCCTTTTTGACTTAGAAAATACATTGAATATGGGTAAAATCCACTTATTGCCTTAACCCTTTGAGATATTGCTTTTGAAACTTTTAATGCTATTTCACATCATTACCCCCATCTGTACGCAAGAGAAGGTAACTCTGTCAAGGATTTGTTTTAAAAAATTAAGGCCTTTTATCGACTTAGAATCTTGGTTAAGTTTTTAGTACCAGTCCACTTTTTGACTGAACTGTTTGAGATATTAATTTGAAAGTTGGAATACTTGTTTACAATCATGATTCCCAAACATGTCCAGGAGAAGGTAATTCTGTCAAAGATTTTATTTGAATTATGGCCCTTAACTGCCAATGTTTTGTATTATAGGCAAGCACTAAAAAAGTCGAGCGCGCTGTCTTACGGACAGCTCTTGTTTGAACTATCGTCTGCTTTTGTTGCTCATGTTGCTCAGTTGACAATTGGTTATAAGATAGTGAATAAGTAGTTTGTATTGAAGTCAAAAATAATACTTTGTTTACACTAATCTTTGCTACCTTTGCGATACATTGCTGTATCTTCAGCGACACTTTCTTCATTTGTTAAACATCCAGCATCCTCTAAATCTGTTATTAAAACATAGTTAAAATATAAAACACATGTTTGACATTTCAAGATAATTTGAAAGTCTGATTTTTTGAGGCATAATGTGCCTTTAAGTTAATATAACAGTTTACAAAGCAACTGGCACGCAAATTATTATACATATACTGTTATATTGAAATGAAATTTGTAAACTTTTACGTTCAGGACAAGTTTCGTGAATGCAAAACGTTTCAAAGTAAGAAAAACAAAACGACCACCCAAATAAGAAAATAATGATATAAATAAGATAAAATAATAAAAAGGAATAAAATTAAAATCTAAACAAAAATTATGTTTCCAATCATATTCATTATGGATGCAAGTGTGCACATTTGTATTAGCAACATTAATTCGTTGTGGGTCTTTAACTTTATAGAAACAAAAAGGTGTATAAAATAGAAAATTTATTACCACTATTTCAGATGGTTACGCCTTATTAAAGTACGTAATAAAACTGTAAATTTAATTAATGTATGTACATGTTTTTATAAATATATTTATACGCCGAATAAAGACTGTTAATGGTTTGAAAATTCCATCTTTCACATAAAAGTAATATAAAATTATATATAAAATGTTATCAAACACGACTTAATACATTTTTATGTATACTTTATTACGTTTATTTTATCTTAACCCGGTTTGAGTATATTTTACCTAAACCCGGTTTGGGAATATTTTATCCGAACCCGGTTTAGGTATACTTTAGCCAAGCCAGTGAAACCGTTTGTTTTAATAAAATTAAATAACAGACCTTGGTTTGAATCAAGTTAAGAAAACAAATATGAAAAATTCATACAAATTTTTTTTTTTTACCAAAAATAATTGTTGCGACTGTCCTGCATAAGGGTCCTTACAAAGTAATATCCTTGCCCCTGTACTTACAGAATCATTAATGGTTGAACTGTCATGCCATGCAAGTTTCAGAAATATGTTAACTTATTAATTTCCTTTATTGTTTTTCTATAAAAAACAGATTTTTTTTTCTAATTATTTTTTCTTGAAAACATCAAATGTTTTTTTGTTGTTATTTTATAAATCTATAAAACACAGAAAGTTTTTTTTATTGTTTTCGCAATACAACAAGTAATTATTTTTTTCTTAATATTTTTTTTCCTGTACGATACAAAATCCTTGGATGTTAATATATTTTTCATTTACATTTTTGTTTCTATACATTTATTTGAGTTCGTTTTGTTTTATCCATACTGTCAAATTTATCGATATGTATTACATAAGTCGGACGTACTAGCTCCTCAATCATCTCTTGTGTAATTTGTAAATTCAACCGTTCCATGTTTATACTTATGATATATTTCTTATAAGAGGGTATTCAATTTGCATAGAGAACATTTTAATTATGCGTGGTTGGAAAATGGCTCAATTTCATAACATATTTCATAATAGAGAAATCTTTAATTATGCGTGGTTGAGAAAGAGCCCAATTTTCAAAACACGTTTCATAATAGCTGAGCTATAAATCAGAACATCTAGTTTAACTGAGCCTACATTTGTAGCTCAGTCATCCCAGAAAACTGTCTTATTTACTTACATTTTTGATGATTTATAAACATAAATGACTGCAAGGGTGGGTAATCACGAATACACTGTACGATTTAATTTATGACTGAATATATTCCATGACAAAACTTATATTGAAGTTGATTTTAGAAATTTTAATGTGAAAATAAATGAAATAGAGCGTTCATCTTTCGTTTGAAGATGATGGTAATTATTAATTCACGAATAAATTTGAATTTCAAAATGTCGTCTGCTGTAAGTGTTAAACATTGAGATTTATATCAGTGTTGTGGATCATAGATATTTCACTGATTTTCTACATACAAATTGTAATGCGGATTGAAACCAGATTTCTTAATATTGAAATTTATAGATTGAAAAGAATAAAGCTATTTATTATAATATTATACTTATAAATGAAATATTGAGAAATATTGATGAAATAAAATGCGTTTTTTTCCATTTTCCTTATTGTCACTGTAAAAGTTTATTTTTCACTGCAGTGAAAGATATTTTTCGTATTTCTTCTATTTTGAACCGAAAATGTAACTTTTTTTTCTTAAAGAAAAAAACAATACATATTTTCATCTTTTGGTATAACAAATATCATATTTATTTAAGTTTCATACCACTTGATGAAAATAAATCCTTTACTTGAATATCCATCATATATCATTTATATAATGACCCTGAACTTTATCGCACGTAACGACAAATTGTAATTTGATAAGAAATGGCTTTTATGTTTCTTTTATAAATAAGACGGTGTCAGTTATCGTTTTCAAGGAAAAATAAAAGTTTATCTCTATCAGGGTCTAGGTAAAAATATTTTATCCATTCCGCCCCTCTAAAGTTTTATAAATGTATATATTTTAAACAACTTGGTTTAGAATTGCATGTCTACAGAGGAGCCTAGAATATCAACTTTGTAAAAATGTACCTAATTCTTAGGAAAAGTAAAAAGATTCAGAATTCAAGTAAAAACTTACATGTTAGGTGCGAAAAATGACTGATTTTTACAGTATTTTATCACAATCTTTCTACAGCGTGACTAACGCAGTAAGGGCTATTTTTGTATATTTTGACCTCTTCTTTTTTGTACTTTACGTGGATTATGAGTGCTGTTTGCGATGCGTAAATTACCTTCTTTGATCATTTAACAATATTTTACTTATTACATCTTCAAAATGTTCATGAAATTTTGCATGCTGCTTAAAAACGGACCTTTGCAATTTTAAAGCGTTTTATTATAAGGGAGACAAATCATGTCACATAAGTTATTTATTTTCTATAGAGTTACTGACCTTTACTTTATGATTTTGTTTCAGGCAAGGATCAGTAATAGCAGACTTTGATATAGATACTAGCAAATATTTAACGGTCTCAGACCTAGAAACATTTTTAAGTGAATTACAAAACATGACCAGTAAAGACGGGTATATGAATATAACAGTGTTTGATTTAACCGGTGACACCCCAACACCGACAACCCAAACACCCACGAGCGTTACATCATCATCAGCTACACCTTCGTCATCAATGGTATCAATGACGTCATCAGCGATGTCACCTGAAACGTCTTCTATTACAGCGTCTTCATCGACTTCGGCGTCGTTTACAGCTTCAGATTCAGGTAATTATATGCCGACGACGTTAAATAAGCAAACATTTTCATTCTTTTGAGTGACATAGTTTTAAATAGTATACTAAACATTTTTTTTCAGACAATTTTGTTTCATATCATCAGAATAAAAGCTGCTGTTAAAAGTATGATTTGGATAAAGAAAGAAGAAAGCAGAATTGTTTTAATCTAACATTTATATAAAGGGTTTTCCTTTGTCTTTTCAGTGACTTCTAATTATACATCAAAATCTGTTATGACGTCAACCAGTGTACAGGTTACGTCATCAAGTGTTATGGCGTCATTTTCCGATTATGTAACGTCAGATGGTAATTACCGTTACTGTTTATGCTTCCATCTAGAATATGTTAGTTCTAATAATAGAACCGCTTTCAGATAGAAATATTGTACGTTATAGCCTTTCTTTTTTCTGTAAATATTTCTCACTGGAGCATATAGATCTAGAACAACTTAAGGGAAACAAAAGTGAAACAACAAATGTGCCAGATTATTTTGCTTATCAGTCACAACGGAAAGTTTCGAGGTCAATATACATTACATTTAACTATTCACGTTTTCAGTTGAATTCATTTTAATCTATTCTTCAATAGATTTGCATAAAATAAATGTAAAATATAAACCTTTTCAAAATTTATTTCTGAAAAAATCTCCGTTATCATGAAAGTTGCACTTAATTTGCTCAATATCATCCGCAACAACAACAGCACTGCATACGCCGTTAATTTAGCCAATGCACCTGACACTTAGATAAAGTTACTTGCATTATTTTGCAAAACGCACAACCAACTATCATGGAAAAAGGAATGCATATTATTAACTATGAACTGTTTGCTTAAAGGTTCTCCAACACAAGTTTTTTGTCCTTCTACTATTATAGATTGGTCTATTGGTTATAAAGTACAGCTTTTCCTTGTTTCTTATTTTGCTTTTTGTTAAAATCAAATGTTTGCTTCCTGTTTGCATTAAAGAGATATACCCGAACTCGTCACATGTTGGTTTCCCCCATCTTATACCGGGGTTCACGGATTAACAGTTACAACTTGATAAGTTTATATCTACAATTAATGTAACGCGTGGATCACAGTTTTGAGAATGGTAGTTCGCCATTAAACTATGTAAATGTAAAAGATTTCACTTTTGCCTCAGGATCATTTGGGCATAACCAACATTTGCCGAGTTCCGAATTACATCTTGATTAGGTTCATTGCATTGGTTAGGAAACTACCCGCCTATATGACTGAAATACTGTTGGGAAAAGGCGTAAAATGAAACAAACAAACAAACATTGCATTGATTAATGTTATTTGCTTAGATTATTTCTATCCATTTAGATTTTCTTTATATATTTGCTTATATTTGCTTTGCTTTGCATGGTGAAAGTAGTCTTTCTTTATATTCATATATGATTATTTATATAAACATTGCTTTATCAGCTTTTACTGTGCACTTTTACATGTTTTACCAATTTGTGCAATGGTGTAGGCTAACAAATAAGACTGAATGTTCATTCACATATTTCAGTTATAAGTGAACCATCCACGGCTTCTATAACTTCACCAACGTCTTCGATATTATCCAGTAGATCTACACATAGTGTAGTGATAGTGTCATCTTTAATAGAGAATCCATCTAGCTCAAACTTTTCTTTAGCACCCTCGTCGACATCTATAGAAACCCACTTCACTACTTCATCCTCGGACATTTTAAGCTTTGCACAATTTTCAACCTCGATGTCATCATTACCAAGCGTGAGCTCATTAGATGTGACGTCATCTGCTTCAGTATCAAGGGCCGAGTTATCTTCGTCTATAAAACCAGTCCAGTTATCCAGTTCAGCTTTACCGATGAATGGAAGCTCATATTTATCTTCCTCAGTAGCATCGAGTCATGTAACAACAGCTGGAATGACGTCATCAGTAGCTTTTTCGTCGTCTCAAGTAGTAGGACAATCTTCATTACATGCAATTGTCTCTTCACCATCGTCATCGATAGTGCAAGCTTCATTCTTAGAGACATCTGAGACAAGTGTCTATTCGTCAAGTACCGACCCAATATCTTCAACTTCAGTTGTTTCATATGTACCTTCCACTATCAATACAGCGATGCCTAGGTCATCATCTTCTTTGGAAATCTTTTCTTCTTCATCACAATTAGTATCCTCAGTAGATGTTAGTTCAACAGCACAGTCTTTATCTTCAACAGCCGGACTATCTTCAGTCACTACAACACCTTCTTCAGCGCCAGCATTGTTGTCTTCATCCAGCTTAAGCTCAAAGATACTCCCTACCTCGTCATCTTTGTTCATATCATCACTAACTAACGGCAGTGAGTCTTCCATTGTTGTAGATAAAACGTCTTCGTACAATAAAATAACGTCTAGCCACGAATCTGTGCCTTCAACGATATCTTCAAGGTTTCATTCGTCCTCAGAAATGTCGTCAGTTATATCTACGGCCCTAGACTCAGCTTCAACATTAGAATTACCAAGATCTTCTACTTCGTTGTCATCATCGGATATGTATAATACAGGTACACGTTCCTTAATGACGTCAACATTTACTGACGCATCTTCCCCATCTTCTACATATGTGACGTCATCCTTTATGGAGACACCGGCCAACCGTACTTCTTCTCTGACGTTGTCTTTGACTGATGTAACATCTTCCTTGTTGCCTTCATCGTCATCATTTGATTTCAGCGGTTTTCAATCAGTGTCGACTCATTCATTAGCATCAACCTCTTCAGTAGATAAAGAATTAGAAGTATCTCCTACGTGGGCGACAGCAGGTATTTTGATGAAGATTGTATTTATTTTTCTGTTTATCAGTGTTACCTGGCTATCACTTATCCATAGATGTGAAGCTTTAGTTTTTTTCAGAGTGTTTGATCCAATAAAATACATTTATGCACCGATAAAAAAAAACACAAAATCATTTCATTTGTAACAGTGCTTTGATTCTTTTAGTATGCTTTTTACTTTCTTTTTCGCACGTTTTGTTTGCTGTGAATTATTTGAGCCTATTTCTTAACGCTAACCATTTATTTATCTTTTAATTTCGCTTGCTAATGTTGTTAACTTATATTATATAAAATATGATAGCCTGAAATATATCTAACATATTGATATTCCAAAAGAGAAAACAAAGATTTGCTCAATTTTTATATGAATAGTGGGACTAACCTACTCACCCAGGTGTCACGTTCGGCGTTATAATGTAGTGAATGTTTTACATACATCTTCTAGTTCTATATCGTATCTCATCTACCACTGGCAGTATTTGCATATTACTTCCTACATGTTTTTGAGGTCATAAAATGAGGTCCATACAACTAGCATGATTTTTTCTTTTCAAGAAAGATTACCCTTTGTGAATTTAACTTTAACTTGTTTATTAATTTTTTGGTTAAAGTATTGCGTGCATCATTAGTCTTCAGAATATCTTTAGATATTCAATTGAAAACTTACTATTAATGTCTTAGGTTTCATTGTTTACTACCCATTAGTCTGGCATCGGTTTTATGTGATTAATTTATTAATTTCTCCCAATAAGTCAATTTTGAATGAAACTTAACCCGTTATGAATTTTGAAAATTACCGGAACACTTTCTAAGAGGTGTAATATTTCAATATGCTTTCCTTTAATGTAAGGTTTCTTTTGTTGATTAGTTTGATTTTGTTATTCGTTATGTTTTAGCACACGTTGTCAAAAATGTTTGCGTCATTCATTTCAGTGACATCAACGCCTGTTGGAACTTCAACACCTGTTTTAACGTCTGACGACATGAATACATCTGTACAATCATCAACGCATATGATGTCATCTCAATCGTCAATGACATCATCAATGATACCGACTTTGTCTTCAGAAATGACATCCTCAGTGGTTCCATCCTCGTCTGTAAAAGATTCTATGTCTTCAGTTCCATCGTCATCGGCGGGAATGACCTCGGAATTGGTAACATCATCTTCAGTAGAATCATCGTCTTCAATGGAAATGGGCTCATCAGTGCTTCAATCTTCATATGAAAAAACAAAATCATCAACGGTTCCTTCCTCGTCTGTACAAATGACGTCATCAGTGCAATCTTCTGTGCCTGTAGAAATAACATCATCTACGATAATATCAACGTCTGTACAAATGACATCGGAAATGGCACAATCTTCTTCTGTGGAAATGACGTCATCATTGGAACCTTCTTCGTCTGTTGAAATGACGTCATCAGTAGTACCTTCGTCATCTGCCTCCTCTGTTGAAATGACAACATCAAAAGAAACTTCTTCGTCTGTAGAAATGACGTCATCAAAAGTACATATTTCATCTATAGAAATAACGTCAACAATAAAACCTTCTTCGTCTGTAGAAATTAAGTCATCAATAGAACCTTCTTCGTCTGTAGACATGACGTCATCAATGGTACAATCTTCCTCGGTAGAGATGACATCACAAATGATCACATCTTCATATGAACAACAAATGTCGTCAATGCAACAATCGTCGTCAGTGGTAGAAATTACATCTTCTCTGGTACCCACATCGTCCGAACAGATGACTTCGTCAAGAGAAGCATCTTCACCTATAGAAATGACGACGTCAATGGTACAATCGTCATCAGTAAAAATGACATCATCTCTTGAACCATCATCTTCGATTGATATGATATCATCTGAAATACAATCCACCTCAATGACATCGTCAATGGTATCTTCTTCGTCCGTAGTTATGACCTCGTCTGTTATACCGTCATCATCGGTTGAAACTACGTCATCCGTGTTACAGTCTTCATCTGTAGAAATAACGACGTCCATTGTACCGTCTTCTTCGTCATCTGTACAACTGTCCTCATCTGAAGAAATAACACCATCTTCATCTATGGAAATAACATCTTCGATGGTGCCGTCTTCATCGGCAGAAATGACATCGTCAATTGAACCGTCATCTTCAATACAAATAAGTTATACAACAGTAACATCGTCGTCAGTAGATATTACGTCATCTGTGCGACCGTCTTCCTCAATAGAAATGACGTCATCTATGCGACCATCTTCCTCAATAGAAATGACGTCGTCAGTTTTACCGACATCTTCAGAAAGTATGACGTCATCAATTCAGTATCCATCCGTTACCTCTTTAATGACGTCACCATCTCCATCGTCAACAGTTACGACCACGTCATCAGTTACAACCACAACAACTGCCCCAGTTAGAACTGTTCAAGTCAGTGGAAGAATGAGACTTGTGTCCGGTGTTTGGAATGAAGACCTAAGAGACAAGACTTCACCCAGTTATCTCATGATGAGGGAAGAGTTCAGTAATACGGTAATTGTGAACATTATTTATAACTCATAAGTTAAGAAAAAAAGGTTCAGGCTAAAATGGTCTCGTTGCCGTCATCGTTATCGTCGTCATGCAAATACTTTTAATGTAACCCAAACAATTTATAAGGTATCAATGCGTAATTAAGAATATTTTATCATCAAAAATAGATGCAGTTGTATGATGTATATTCTGTTAAACGACTCACTTTGACAGCAGCAACTTTTATGACGTTACTTTCTCTTTATTCTGAACACCATTTGATTATATTTCAATGCACTTGAATATCAATTTAAACAGTTCTTTTAATATTGCCTCTTACAGTTTTATGCACTCATTTCAATGTCTTTGATTCACTGTACATGAGAAGGCTGTATTTTTTCTATTTGATTTATTAGCTTATTCCGAGTTTTAAACCCCTGATAATAATTGATATCAATAAAGAAAAGCTCATTTTCAATGTTCGTTGCAGATGCAAATTGTCTTTGCAAGAAGCGACTTTCAATCTACCTTCATTGGCTTGGACAATGTTGAATTCACGTAAGTACAATATACTCACTTTATTATTGAAAATTGTTATAGTAGAAATGTTTTCATCTTTTCACTTGTTTTTTTTTTAAATTAAAATGACTATCTATAAAGAATGACTGCTATGACACAGTAAGACTTGTAAAAATATTCATATTTTATGACTACTATTTTGTTATAATTTTAATTCCGAAAGAGTATCATTTAAAAGATGTCAATGGTTTTTACTCGTTCTGTACTTATTTTTCGGTTTCGTTCTTTTTTAAATAGATACATCAAGAAACAATTACAATGAAATAAATAAATAAATAAATAAACAAATAAAAAAATAAATAAATAAATAAAAAAATAAATAAAAAAATAAATAACTTAAAAAAAAAAAAAAAAAAAAAAAAAAAACAACACAATAAATAAATAAAAAATCACTGATATTTCCTAAAAATCTGATAAATTAAAAAAAAAACAACAAAAAAACAAAATATTTGATTCTATACATTTAGGCCTGGCAGTGTAGTTGCCAGTTATACAGCCGGGTTTATAGAGGATCCCAAGTCACCGGTCGAGTCTAATGATGTTACTAGAGTTATCAGGTCGGCAGCTGAGAGCAATTCTTTCGGAAACTTTACTGTTGATAAAGACAGTATAACAAATGAAGGTAGGTTAATGATTAACCTAGAAAAAACATCATTGCTAATATCATTAATAATTATAATCATTATTATCAATTAATTATTATCATTATTATCATAAAGTTTAATTATGATCATCATAATAATCATTATTATCTTTTCCTACTTCTCCTCCCTCCCTCCCTGCCTCCCTCCCTCATCATCATCATCATCATTATCATCTTCATCATCATCATCATCATCATCATCATCATCATCATTATCATTATTATCATAGAATTTAATTATTATCATTATGATAATCATTACTTTGTATGTCATGTACGATCTTAATCTTTGACCCCAACAGCAATGCAATAAGTGATCGTTATAATTTTGAAATACAAAAATACAAGCTTTTGATGACATTCAGTGCGAAGCTTGAACAGTCTGACGTCACGAAGCCTCATATTTGCTTCTTTGAAATAAAGAAGTTGATTCATTTCCGTGTTATGTTGTTTTTTTTGTATTGTCTCTTTTAATAACCTGAGGGTTTGGTTCCACGACAATTCATTGTTTATGTATTTGATAGATATATTTGCAAATCTATTTTATCGTCTTTACATATTGCTAACACTAATATGCCCGTATTTCATACGTATACAGTATCGTATCATGATTTCATGTTTTACAGTACTTTGTCCTATTACACCTTTCCTTAACTTGGCTATTTGTTCATGCTTTGCAGTATTTATTGTGTATGTTGTATGTTTTACAGTGCTCCCGGATACAACAGTTAGTCCAACTGTTTCGTCGTCCACTATGACGATGACTTCATCCTCTATGACATCATCCACCATAGTAGATTCAACATCATCAACAGCAACTAGCGTTGAAAAGACAACATCTGTTTTAGACACCACTTCAGTTTTACCAAGTTCCTCAGTTGAACAGTCATTGACTCCATCAAGTTCTGTTATTCCAACTTCGTCAGTTACACCATCAAGTTCTGCTATAATAACTTCGTCCGTTGAACAATCAGTCGATCAAACAAGTTCTGTAATACCAACTTCCTCTGTTAAACAATCAGTTACTCCGTCAAGTTCTGTTATACCAACTTCGTCAGTTGAACAATCAGTAACTCCGTCAAGTTCTGTTATACCAACATCGTCCGTTGAACAATCAGTCGCTCCAACAAGTTCTATAATACCAACTTCATCCGTTGAACAATCAGTAACTCCGTCAAGTTCTGTTATACCAACTTCTTCCATTGAACAATCAGTCGATCCCACAAGTTCTGTAATAATTACTTCATCTTTTGAACAATCAGTCGCTCCGTCAAGTTCTGCCATACCAACTTCATCTGTGGAACAATCAGTCGCTCCCACAAGTCCTGTAATACCAAGTTCGTCAGTTGCACAATCAGTAACTCCGTCAAGTTCTGCAATACCAACATCGTCGGTTGACATGTCAGTCAGTCCTTCCAGTTCTGTTTCACCAACTTCGTCCGTTGAACAATCAGAAACCACATCAAGTTCTGTAGTACTAACTTCTTCTATGGAACAATCAATATCTCCGTCAAGTACTTTGTTTTCAACAACCACATATGTCTCGGACACACTATCAATGATGTCGTCTATGGTGCCCTCAACTTCATCACAAGAATCTTCTATATTTTTAACGACCTCATTACTTCCGTCTACAAGTGCAGAATATTCAACATCAACAATGACCTCGTATGTTGAAGAAACATCAACTGTTCCAACAAGCTCATCTGTGACTACTTCATCCATAGAATCATCTGTCATTTCTCCATCATCTTCAGAAGTAGAACCAACATCATCGGTTATATATTCTTCCCCAGTTTTGACATCTTTATCTACAGTTGAAGCAACATCTTCCTTGTTAGAAACTTCTGTTCTGTTATCCACAACACTAGTAGAATCTTCGTCGTCAGTTGCACCAACTTCAGTAACTGATACATCATTCACTTCAATTGCACCATCTTCATCTATGTTTAGTTCTGAAGTCATAGAATCGTCTTCAGTGTTTATGACGTCTTCTGTCTCACAACCAACATCGTCCGAATCAACAATATTGATGGAAAGTAGTTCGTCTGTTTTAACAACCTCCTACGTTGAGTCATCTTCAGTAATGGCGTCATCATCAGTTATGACGTCACCTTTAACAACAACTCCGTATGTGACGTCAGTCATTCAATCGTCTTTTACAGCAACAGGTAAGTCTAATGATTCTAAAGGTTATATGAAGTTTGATTGTAAACATTATTTATATATTTGAATGTCCTTTTTTTTTAAAATTGTATATTCCAATCCAAGTCTTTTTTAACATCAAAGATAATGGAAAGGAACGTATCAATAATACAAACACTCTTATATTATGTTCCACAACGTTTGGCTTTTTTTTCCCGTTAGCCCTATAGTAGCCACTTTATTTTGTATATTTAGTACTGGTTCATTATTGTAGGAAAACATTTTTTTCTATTCTGTTTATAGAAACAAGTATGATTGTTACCCCGACACCAACATCCACTGCTATGCCGACAAGCTCAGTTATACCAGTTCAAAGAGTAAAAGTGGATGGAAGACTAAGACTCACAGGCGGGGCGATATGGAGCGATGATTTGAAGAACAAAACTTCGGATGAGTACCTGATGTTGGTAGATGGTTTGGATAAAGCGGTATGTGAAAACCCTTACACAAGTTTACAAATATAACGTTTTCACTTTAGTATCAGATATTTAAGATTATTTCTGTACATAAACTAATTCAGCTAAGTTAATATTTACACATTTATGTTTATAAATACTAAGCTTACTGATGTGTTTATACATGTATTGCAATATATGGTGATTCATTATAAGATTTTTACACTGACTGCTGGTACAGACGGGAATATAGCTCGAGGGTAACTGCAAAAGGCGGTAACGAGGCTCTGCCATCAGCGTAATACTTAATATAAACACAAGCAATCTGCACGATATTATATATAAACACACGCTACCATCATTATATGAAGTATAAACGGACACCTTCAGCATGATACTAAAAATAAACACACGCTATCAGCATGATTAAATATAAACACACACAGTCAGCATGAAAATAAATATGAACGAACGCGATCAGCATGATACTAAATATAAAGACACGCTATCAGCATGATACTAAATATAAACACACGCTATCAGCATGATTCTAAACATAAACGAACACTATCTGCATGATACTAAATATAAACACGCAATCACAATGATACTAAATATAAACACAGGCTATCAGCATGATGCTAAAAATAAAAACGCCATCAGCATGATAAAATATAAAATAGAGAAAATAAGAATCCCTAAAGAAAGCCCAACACGTCAAAATTAAAAATGTTGCAGGTTCATGGACGGTACTGTCAAGTGCAAACCACCGTCCACACACGCTAAATGACACACGCTAAACACACGCTATCAGAATACCAAATATAAACACACACTGTCAAAATGATACTTAACATCTGCATGATACTAAATATAAACAAGCAATTACAATGATACTAAATTTAAATACACGCTATCTGCATGATACTAAATAAAAACACACGCTATCAGCATGATACTAAATAAAAACGCACGCTATCAGCATGATACTAAATAAAAACGCACGCAATCAGCATGATACTAAATAAAAACGTACGCAATCTCAGCATGATACTAAATATAAATACGCACAATCAGCATGATCCTAGATAGAAACAAACGCAATCGGAAATATTCTAAATATAGACACACGCAATCAGAATGATACTAAATATAAACACACATACTAACATTGGTTGTATGACAATATTTCAGATGGGAGAAGTTTTCATGGAAAGTGGCTTAGACGTTGACTTCATTGGTTTCGAAAACATTGCTTTCACGTAAGTTTTCGAAGCACCTTTTTCCCCCTTTTCTCTCTCTCTGAAATTATAAAATCCATTTGTCTATACATGTTCAAATATAGAAAATTAATTTTCATAGAAATAAAATTACTTAAAAAATTACATGAAATGTCCTGTTATGGCAAAAATCGACATCTTTTGAAGTGACAGAAAACCTCGCTTTTTATCATATAAAAACGGATGATATTGCTTTCCGTTTGTATAGAAATAAGTTGATTCATTTATACTTCACGATTAGAGAGAGAAATAATAAAAGTGTGATTTAATTTGCTGCTAGTTATGAACATATTTAAACTCAGATAGAAATCTTTTTTACAGAGAGGGAAGTGTAGTTGCAACATACACTGCTGAAATTGACGTTTTCGCCGGTGAGGTTCTGACGTCAGAAGATGTCAGTGACGTCTTTAGAGATGCAGCTATCAGCGGGACGTTTGGCAGCTTCACAGTTGACCCAGATAGCATCGATAATACTGGTAGATAAAATATTTTGTGTAGCTCTATAAAGATTTTATCATGTACCAACTCTATAAACTTTTTATCATGTACCAACTCTTTAAACTTTTTATCATGTACCAACTCAATAAACTTTTTATCGTGTTCCAACATTTTTTAAAATACTTGTATATCTTTATTGAACTTGTTAGTATTGCCCTCGGTTGATTTTGTAAATGGTATACATGTACAGTTAGACATACTCCATTACTTTTACGTCAATGACATTCTTTTTCATATCCCTTGAATTTTATGTATTTACTATTAACAATCGTATTGATATAGGGGTAGTTCTAAACCATCGTAACAGTGATTAACCTAAGATTTACTAAGTCTTTTGAAATAATACACTTTAAGATTGAAACATTTGGCTTGGTTTTAGTGTACAGTCACCCAACAACATGGTTTTTACACCATCGTCTTCGAACTCTTCACAATGCAAGATCTTTCAGTTTTATTCCACTTTTCCCGTGACGTTCGCATCGTTTCACTTCACATTAAATAGGCGTCACTTTGTATTAACACATCAGAATAATCCCTCAACATCAGTTTATACTTCACCATCTGAAGTAGCTTCTTCAACACCTGTTTATACTTCAACAACTGAAGTAGTGTCACCAACATCAGTGTTTACTTCACTATCTGAAGTACCTTCGTCAACACCTGTGTTTACTACAACATCTCAAGAAGTGTCCTCATCACCTGTTTATACTGAAACATCAGAAATGATTTCTTCAACACCAGTGTATACTGCAACATCTGAAGTAGTTTCCTCCACACCAGTTTACACTGAAACATCTGAAATGGTAACTTCAACACCTGTTTACACTGCATCATCTGAAATGGTAACTTCAACACCTGTTTACACTGAAACATCTGAAATAGTAACTTCAACACCTGTTTACACTGACACATCTGAAATGGTAACTTCAACACCTGTTTACACTGCATCGTCTGAAATGGTAACTTCAACACCTGTTTACACTGAAACTTCTGAAATGGTAACTTCAACACCTGTTTACACTGAAACATCTGAAATGGTAACTTCAACACCTGTTTACACTGAAACATCTAAAATGGTGACGTCAACACCTGTTTACACTGAAACATCTGAAATGGTGACTTCAACACCTGTTTACACTGAAACATCTGAAATGGTGACTTCAACACCTGTTTACACTGAAACATCTGAAATGGTAACCTCAACACCTGTTTACATTGAAACATCTGAAATGGTAACCTCAACACCTGTTTACACTGAAACATCTGAAATGATAACTTCAACACCTGTTTACACTGAAACATCTGAAATGGTAACCTCAACACCAGTTTACACTGAAACTTCTGAAATGGTAACTTCAACACCTGTTTACACTGCATCATCTGAAATGGTAACTTCAACACCTGTTTACACTGAAACATCTGAAATGGTAACTTCAACACCTGTTTACACTGAAACATCTGAAATGGTAACCTCAACACCTGTTTACACTGAAACATCTGAAATGGTAACTTCAACACCAGTTTACACTGAAACTTCTGAAATGGTAACTTCAACACCTGTTTACACTGAAACATCTGAAATGGTAACTTCAACACCTGTTTACACTGAAACATCTGAAATGGTAACTTCAACACCTGTTTACACTGCAACATCTGAAATGGTATCTTCAACACCTATTTACACTGAAACATCTGAAGTTGTTACCTCAACACCTGTTTACACTGAAACATCCGAAGTATTAACCTCAACACCAGTATATACTGCAACATCTGAAGTAGTTACCTCTACCCCAGTGTATACTTCAACTGAAGAATTTACTACATCAACTCCTACAATATTTTCTTCGACACCAGTAATGTCAAGCTCAGTATTAGTGCCCTCATCGTCAGTGGTTAGTTCATCTGTATCATCAAGTATACAGCCAACCTCTTCGGAAACAGTGGTACCGACAAGTACAGTGACACCGTCAACAACGCCTGCTCCTGTTACATATGATATGCAAGGAAGATTTAGAATAACAGGTGGCGCCCTTTGGACTGAGGAATTGAAGGATAAAAACTCAGATGGTTATAAAACGCTGAGAGGCGATGTAGAAGTACAGGTAAAATATTATTGGTTGTTTTTTTATTTTATACTGTGAACGTTAGTTATTACTGACATAATTTTTTACCAGTCATATATCTAGTATAATTATTTTATCGGTAGTTTTATTTCAGATTTGGTATTTCCCACATGTTTTAATAAGCTTAAATGTGACACAGATTGATTATGTCCGTTAAAACAAGGATTTTAGACGCTTATTAAATTTAATTATAAAACGGCAGTGAGAATACTGCAAAGGATCTGTATTAACGGAATGCGCAATTGATTAAAATTTCTATTCTCGAAATAAGAGAAAAAGAATTATGTTGAAAATTTTGCCTAAATTGGTCAAATCAAGAGTTTTTTTCCACTAAAATATTTGTTAATGCAAAGAATTTTCAAAAAATATTTTTTTAATAAAACATGACTTTTTTGTTGAAGCTGTGTCGTCACATAAACAATAACCTTTTTTTCTCTTGCAGTTGAATAAAACTTATACAGTAGAGTTCAAAGGCCGATTCAGAAGAATAAAGGATATGACTTTTAGGTAAGCATTATTTTCCTTCACTGGGTCACGCAAAAGAAAATTATTTTTCATTATTTTTTGATTTTGTGTAAAACTTTATTTAAAATATGTTGTTGAAGTAGTTGGATTCGGTGATATTAATTTGCAAACCTTTTATACATATACATTTGTTCTTGTATTGTTTTTGTTAACACCGTTTTCATCATTATCAAAATTTCAATCAATCGATCAACTAATCAACAAATCAATCAATCAATCTATCAATCAATCAATCAAAAAATTAATCAATAAACCAAACAATCAGTCAATTAATCTACATTGTATAAACTAATACATCAATCAATCAATCACACTTTCTTTCAATCAATCAATCAATCAATCAATCATAAAGAATATACTTTTTTGTTTTTCAACGTTTAGTCAGGGAAGTGTTGTAGTGAGTTATGTACTAGAGTTCGCTGATCCAGCAAACCCTGTATCTACAAGCGATGTAACTGATAAACTAGTAACTGCAGCCAGTAGCGACTTTGGAGGCTTCACTGTAGAAACACAAAGTATTGTGCATGAAGGTATTGTATATACTACTATCGTTATGAAAAAAAATAATAATATCTGGATTAAAAAAAATTACCCTTACCCTTCTTCCCTCAAAAAAAAAGAAAAGAAAAATCAAAATAAATTTAAAAAAAAACAATTAAAAATATATAGAGAGAGATAATATTAAATAAATAAATTAATTAATTAATGTTAAATTAATTAATCAATTTATTAATTAAATTAAAATAATTAATTAAAAAAATAAATAAAAGAAAATAAAAAAGCGGGGGTATAATATTATGTAATTTTCAGCAAATTTGTTGTGCTCATTAAACCGGGACTTGTATAATCTTCCATACATGTTGCTTGTTTCACCCAAATACTAGATTTTAGCTCTATTTAAAAAAATGCTTGGATTTCTTTAGATTTAGTCTTGAAATGTTCACATAAAATGTGCATATGTAAGAATTGTTTTAAAACACTGTGATTGAAAACTTATCGAAATAATTATATAATTTATTTAAATTAATTAATTAATTAATTATGAATAAATTTATTTTTAACTTATCAATCTAATTATAATAACTAAAATTAATTAATAAATTAATTATGAATTCATTTCTTGCTGCCTCTAAAAAGTAAACGCACAGTTCAGTGTATAAACGGATTTTTTTATCTGATGTCATAAATATACTGTTTAAAGTAACTGTTTTTATTACCTTGTTATAGTAATCGTGCCTACATCATCCACGCCCGCCGATACAACGACCCCGGAGCCGCCACCGATGACCACGGAGAAGGAAGAGAAGGATTTCCCGAACTGGGCGATAGCTGTAATAGCATGTGGATCAGCAGTACTTGTCTTCCTCTTATGTCTGATCTGTGTTCTGGTTAGTAGAGTTTTACATTGATACAATTACCGCGGAGCAGGTACAACTTAACACAGAGGAATGAATGTAAAATTGAAAGAAATGTAATAAATACTTAAAACAATTTACATACCGTAAAATAAAAGATTGAAAGAACGAAAAGTTTATTTGCTCTCATAGTATTGTTATCACAAAAGTTTTCGAATCAACGATTGATCGTTCCCTTTTCCTTACTTCAACAATTTTTTTATGTCAATATAAAAACATTTAACTTTTTTCAGCTAAAAGTATATCATCACCCCTAAATGTTTCCATTTACCATCTTCATTTAAAATGGCAAAGCGGCCTTTGAATTATTCATTTTTGGCTCTTCACAATTCAAAATTCAAAAAAAATAATAAAAATAAAAAAATAAAAAAATAAATAAAAAAAAAAAATAAATATAATGATAAATTTCAGTGTCGCAGACGTCACGTGACTCATAAATATGCACTTCCGGAAGATCCGGATGACATCGGCTATAGACGAAGCTGGGTAAGTAATTTTTAAAATTGCTCAAAATACTCAAACAAAAAATGTACATTATAAAAGATGAGTTTAATCTTTGTGTGTGAAAATAGATACTTTTATAATTGACGAACACATTTACCAACATATAGAGACATCATTTACAATAAATACATATTTGGTATGCACTGGGAATTAATCGTACTTAATAATAAATCACAATATCGTTATTGTTGATATATTTTATGTGATTTTACCTTTTGCGTCCAGCATATAAATCATGCAAACCCACATTTTACTGTAAAACTAGATCTCTATGAATTTTGCTGATAATATATGTAAATGATTTTTAAATTACATAAAATGCAATAATGTATATTCAATATATATGAGCCTCGTCATGACAAAACCAACATAGTGGGTTTGCGACCAGCATGGATCCAGACCAGCCTGCGCATCCGCGCAGTCTGATCAGGATCCTTGCTGTTCGCTTAACAAATATATTACAAGTGGAGAAACTGACAGCGGACAGCATGTATCCTGATCAGACTGCGCGGACGCGCAGGCTGGTCTGAATCCATGCTGGTCTCAAACGCACTATGTTAGTTTTGTCGTGACGCGGCTCATATGACATTATGATAGGTATTGTAACAGAAAGATAATCGAACGAAACGTTACGCCTTAAATGACGTCATAGCTGACGTCAGTTTGAATATTTTTTAAAACATATATGCGTCCAGTCAATAAATCAAGGGTCAATGGTGTATTAAACATTTCAGGCAAGTAACAATACTCAACATAATCCAGAATACGTGTATGATAATAAAATTGCCATACAATCAGAGGACATTGCTGACAGAGGGGAAGTAAATAGTCCGTCAACGTATTACAATTTATCCGACCATGACCTTAAAGAAGGAAATGGTCGCGTAGCAGGTGCTTCAACGTCATCAGGAGTAGATCCGGTAAATATACTTCAATTGATTAATCAGTAATGGAACTACTTATTTGCATAATAATGATCGTAACGATACATTATTTGATGTATCTTGATAAAAGTAGTTCTTAATGTTTCATTTCTCAGCATTAATTGGCCTACTTGTAAGGAATTATATAAATGGTGTAAACAAAAACCGAGAACATTTTAAAACTTGAATCGTTATGAGTCTAGAAAATCTATAATAATTGATGCATTGTTTGGAAAATGTTATACCGGTGTCTTGACTAAAACAACAAAGTTACATCTCCCGATTATAATTGTCCTATTTAGAGGAATTAGACGAGCGTCAAAAGACAGTTATTAGAACTTATATCCGAAAAAAATTAATCTTAAGAATATTAAGAAGAATCTATCCTGGTTCTATAATATCACTCTGATCTTTGATGGGTATACATGTTTATGTTTGCTTGAGAATTTGAACAATTGAATCCGATGATCAAATTTTCTTAATGAGTTATAATTAGGGTGTTTGTCTCGGGTGGGGGGCGGTGGGGCGTTGGAAGTGGCTGGGGGATAGAGGACATTGATATTCAAATTATTAACTTTTATTCGTTGTACATCTTAATTGTATAATTACATAATTACAAACTTAATATTGTGTCACAACTTTTAGAGAAGATTTTGATGCTGTCACTTATTCCAAATGAGAACAAAAAATATTTTAAAACTGTTTTGTATCTTGTTTCACCAGAATAAAACCACCGTGCTTTGATAAAAGCCGTCCTTAGTTCAGTATGTAAATATAGTTATTGTAAGTATACTACTGCACATTGTACTTCAAATGTCTTTTGCTTTATTGACTTCCCCTTTTCTACTCTTGTAAATGAAACCATGAAATTTACGTTCAGGCGTGTTTTAAATATGCATGGCATACTATTTTATCGGCGCCCTGAAGCAAATAGAATTTAAACAGCCAAACAAAAACGTGCACGGGTTCATAGGGTGCCTTTTATGTAAACAAAACAGAGCTTTATGGGTTATAAATACCGCTTTTTGTTTAACCAGTGCAAGTTTTAATGCACAGCAATAACAACAACAAAAAAAAAAAAATAGATAAAATAAAAAAAAACTTTAATGTACTTATTTTTAAGTCAGAATTGTTTTCACTGGTTTCATATTTCAAGGTTTTTACATTATAATAACTAACATACTAACTGTTCGCAGAAATTAATTGTACATGTTGTAAAATAACTTTTGTGCAGTGATCTCCCTTTATTAACCAGTTTTCAATTTTTATTTTCTAATAACTTGTTAATTTCTTTAAATTGTTCTCCAAGTTAAACATGCTTAATAATCTTACTTGTGTATTTAGCAATATATTTCTTTGCCGACACTTAATACGTATACTATGACGACACAATATGGCGGTTGATCACATTACGGCACTGTACTGACGTAATTTATTTCTCTCGGCATTCCTACTCATAAACTTTCTTCCCAGATTGATAACAACATGTAATAATTTATGAGAAGTTTTATATTTTTTTCTTTGTGACGGATTTTCGATTTAGGAAGAGTTGATATTTTGGAATGACTTTGACCTAAAATAGAAAACCAAGTGACACATTATCACGTGACACATAAAAAAGTCACTGGCAGTTTGTTCCGTTTTTTCTCTGACGGTGAAGGTTACTTTTGTTGTGACTTTGATCACGAAATCCTTTTTATGGTCAGTCACACTGTTTTATTGCTCTGGCATGTTCAGAAGTAACCAGCAGTTCTGTGGACAAGTTGAGGCCACTAGGACTGGTTAGCTTCTGTACAGCTTGCCGAGGAACGGCGCTGTGGCTGAACTGCCCTCTTGTATATCTAATGTGGCTCGCTAACAAGCATGTTAAGTTTTCATCTAGTGTTCATTTTGTCAAACGTCACTTCTAAGACATATGATTTGATAGATAGACTGATTCCGTTCATGATTAAATTACAAAAGGCTTAAAACATTTGACTTGGACGTATATTATATATTGTTTAATTATAAAATTATAAAACAATGAACGTGAGAAATAAGACAAACTGACATGTTTTGTAGTTATTGACAACATTTGTCGTGAAGAAAATAAACATATAGTTCATATATTTAGATGCACATTTTCATATTAATAGGTTAGATCATTTTCTTTGTTCCATGTAAATATGTAAAACACAGTAGAAATAGCGTTAGATTAGTATTTAATATAATTTTACCTTTTTTTTTCTATGATAATTATTTTAGTTGAACCGCCATAAATTAAGATAAAAAAATGTGTGTTTTATGAGAAATATATGCAAAATAGCTCCTCATGTGGTATTACTGTTGTTTATTTCAGATATTCAGGACGAGACAAAATAAAACGAATTGTAATAACTGTAATAATTGTAATAATAACACAATTAATGTTGAATTACCTCCCTTTATGTATTGTTATGTCAATGTAACGTGCTTCAGTACAAAAGATTCTTTCATGAGTACTTAGATATTTAATTTCACAGCAATATATGCACGTTGATCTGACTAGTATTGTATACTTCTTTATAGAACGGTTTTTTTTCTCACAAGTGACTAGATATTTCGTATTCATTTACGTTCATGAAAATTAAGAATTAGTATGGTTATTTCAACCAATCAACTGTCTTAAATTGTCCTGTAATAAAATACGCGTCAACCGTACCTTTACAATATGACCTTATGCTTATAATTATGTCATGGTCATTGCATTGTATATTAAAATTAATATTTAGTATAAATATGTTTGATAGTTATGTGTATATATTTAAATTAAAGTTTATTCTTATCATATCGATCATATGACATTTACATATTGCCAGGGTCAAATACATAGTAAAATGTCATTATCCAGGTCATAATATAATTGTTATCAAGGTCATTTATAGATTAATAAGGCCATATACAAATATTTTAAAATCAAGTAAATCCATAAGATTATGGCTATTTAGAAAGTAATAATGTCATTGGCATCATAGCACATATTCCTCCATAAATATTTCATTACACATCACCACTAAAGATTATAAGTTTTGTTCGTGATGATAGTTAGATTAAACTGTTTTGAAAATAAGTGATACATTCTCAACAAACCAAGACGTTGTATTCTAAAAATTGGACATCTTTGACTTTATCTGTCCATTGTTTTAATTATAGTGTATGTTTTTTTTTTCAGACTTTAATAAATGTACATGATTGGCCCCCAGCTAATGGGTCAGCGAACAGAGCAGTGCTGTATTTTTATGACAATACAAAAACATTTTACGATCAAGAATCGGACACTTGGGAAACAAAGATGTAACGGAAGCTATATTTAGACATTCTGAATTTATAAATAGATGTGTAACGGAAGTTGCTCAGTTGGGAAACGCGTGTTCAGTGTGTGTAAATAAATAGAGACCTATCACAAATGAACTGCATATAAGATGGAAAACCCGGGGGCGAGGACAACGATATTCCATTTTGAACATGTTTAGGAAAAGTTAAGTGAACAAATTTAAAGGCAAAACAAATGTTACACTTACACATGTTTGGGTAATGTTGAAGGTTAGGTGGTTTCAGTTGAAAGCGATGAAATATGTTTAAAACAAACCGCTTTCGTCTTTGTCCAATTATACCGCTTAACAGTTCTATGCATTAAAAACTAACATATACATATTTGCATGAAATTCGAAACCATGATTTTCAGAACAATAACAAACTAAATAATTGTTTTATAGAACAATTGTATTTCTTTCTGCTTTCTATATTAAGCAAGTATAAACAAATATGCAAATCGGACAAGAGGTTCACCATCTTTAACTCAACTGGTGTTTTTCTTTAACTTACATTTCTTACAAAACATACGGTCATACTTTGACCTTACAGCTCTCCACATATAGCAAGTTGACCATAAGTGCAAAAGTGGCCTTATAAGCAATTTTCTTAAGTTTTATGAATATGTGTGTCGGCAATGCATTATGAAAATATGGACACCGTTTTCATAAAAAAACATGAACATTTTATGTGCATAAAACGTATTAAACGGTATTTTGCTATTTTTTATTTACAAATATGAGTAAATATGTGCATATCGATGTATCCAATGACTTAATGTTGGGAGTCAAAAACATTCCATCTTGTTATTTCATATGACCTTGATTTATATTCCCAAATTCTTAATTTTCGAATGGTATATTTCCAAATGTTATATTTCGAAATGTTATAGTTCTATTTCCTAATGTTATATTTCCAAATAGTATATTACCAACTGTTACTTCTGGCTTTTTGAAAGCATGTCTTGTAAGCTTTTGGTCTCCTTTAATACCTGATAATAATAATGGTATTGTGGAAGTATATAGCAAATAACATATAGTATAGAGAAAAATGCATTTGTTATACAAATATATTTATTTATGCTCATTTTTTTACATTATGCAATACGTTTGTACAATTAAAGGTAATCGATTGATTGATTTTATTGATTTATGTAAACGTTCCTATACTGCATTTCAGTCGAAAATTAGAGTCTTCCTCTTAATTGACTGTAGACAAAACGACATTTAAAAAAGATATATATTTGGAAACAAAATGCCGGGAGTAAATTGTAAATGTGTCTGCATGTTTATTGAATTGAGTGGAAATAGTGTTGTCATTAACATATAATTAATGAAAGTAAGGAAATTTAAATTAATATACACGTATATAAGTCTTTTTCGTACACAAAGCTGGATTTTCTAGAGCCATGAAAATGGCCATGCACATGAAAACATTTTTATTTGTAAATAAAATAATTATCATCATATGAGGTAATAATGAAATTAAATCTTTTTTCAGGCACGTATTGCCAATACACTTAAGTCACCTTAAAGAAGCAGAAAAAACAACGATTATCTTTAAAAGATATTAAGAGGATATTTTTTAGTTTCAGTGAAATATGGAATATATTTTCACTCAACATGATAAGATGCCACATGTTTTCACGAGCCGGGACGGCGAGTGAAAATATGTGGCATTTTATCATGTTGAGTGAAAATATATACCATATTTCACAATAAACGAAAATATAACCTTTTTATATAATTTCATTGTCAAAGAAAAATGGTGACAAACACCCTTGCTTGCTACGCAACTGCAATTGTACATGTACAGTGCGCAGTAATATAATTATTGTCTTGTTTTGCACGCGATATTTAGCGCTACATTTTGACGTGACGTAAACAACTCTTTAAACGTCTGTACAGCGTTAATGACTGAATTAAAGATATTGGTGTTCGGATTTATTTTCTTAGTAAGACCATTTTCTATCATTCTAGATAGTTTTCACAACAAAATTGAACAAACAGTTGTTTTGTATTTATCAGATTTTTCAAACAAAATGGCGAAAGAAGTCCCTTAAAATAAATATGAGTTTTGACTCCGCCCACTGTCATATTTATATTTCTTATTTATTTTTAAAAAATATGAAATATAAATTGGCTGATATAGCACAATATTTCACGGGTAAAATTAAATATGCTACTTATTATATGTGCATCATAATTCAGACCCTTGCTCTGCCTATGGAGTCGATAAACACTCATATTAGTAATATAACACACAAAACTTTACATGAATAGTGAATATTTGTACGTTACTTTTGAAACATTGGCCATTCATCAAATGCCCCAAGCTTAACAATATGGAATATATCTAAAATCCACATGATCATATTGGATTTGCCTATTTATAACGTTTGTCTTCAGTCATTTAAGAGGGATGTCATGACCCTCATTGTGCCAGTATCATTTTCAAGATTTACTTTGATTAATTTATCTACCCATTTTCAAATGTTATGAGATTATTGAAAAATAGTAATGACGTCATAGTATGACGTCATATTAAAGGTGATATGTTTCGTTTTATGTATAATTAGCTCTTATTGATATTATAGGTGCTATTTTTGTCACATACACAACGTTCCTTTTTTCAGGAAGCATGTAGTTTATGCATTTAAATTACAGTACGTTTGTAAAGTCGGTTTTCATAGGATATTCGTGGAACATGTATTTTGATACACACAAGACTTTTGTAAACGTGTAAATTATTGCTTTTTCAAAGTAGCTGTGCAGTATTGCGAATTTGTTATAAACACGACGGAATGAATAACTACCGGGTCATATAGATGTTTTTTCATAGCAATTGTTACCTACCATGGCCGCCGTTTTTGGGATCATTTCTAATAAATTATATATGTAAAATAAGACATAAATCTATCAATATTGTATCATCTTCATGAAGACCAAAAATCGTTTACTGATGCTTGCTGTAGTAATGGATACATATGTATAAATATATTTTAAAATTCACCTTAATCGGCTGTTATAACTGTGTCAAAAATATTATATAGAATATTAACCACCAAATTTGAATGACTGCCATTTTTTTCAAGGGAGGTAAATGCTGTTAAAATTGGCAACTATCTACAACATATCAAAACATTTTAACTTATAATGTGTAAGAAAGAAGGTACAAATGCAATCGCTTCATGAAGGTTTAGATTTCAGTTAGAAACGAATTTGAAAGTTATAAAAATCGGCATAAAATTATGTTCTAAGACGAACTAAAATTATACGTTATAATTACCAAAAAGGATATTATACATGCAATAGTAAACATTGTCTCGTGCACAGCTTGAATGTATTTCTCGTGGGTTTTTATTTGATGACAAGATATAATTATGTTGCCTTGATGAGTCATGTGCCTTTCTTCCTGTATATAAAAGCCTTTAAAAGGCATAACATATCAAATTATAAATTAATCAAATGCATTGTACATTACTTTTAATTTTTGTATGTTTACGTAAATGTTATATGTTATTATGGATATCGAACCCTAATGAAATTGGCAAATTTCTATTTGTTTCGAGGATATGCAATATCGTGTTAAAACAAGATACTGCTCTTGCGTTCTACCGACATCTTTCGTAAAAACTATTTTAGGCATATGGCGTAAGATCTATGGACAGTTACGTAAACTATATATGGCTGTGATTTGAGTCACTAATACTATGTTGACAAACGCATTCATGATCATAAGGGTCCTTAACAATTTAGATGTTAAAAAATATTGACTAAACACAGTCAACGGACAATAAAAGATTATATATTTGTTTCTTCTAAATGAGATATTGATGACCTTAAAGGTCACCATAATAAAGCTTCATTGACTGATAAGAATTGGAATCAATAAAAGAAAATGCGATTTTTTTGAATTTGATTATTTACTTATTATTTCTTAACATTATTTCTTTCAGATTATTGTTTGATTGATTTTGTTTTCGAAATATTTAAACATAAATAAATGATAACATGTTACATAGATGATATTTAACCAAGTTGAACAAATATTAGAAATAAATTGTAATTTACGTTTTATACTAAATTCAAATAAATGCTAATCCCCGTGATAACTAATACAAATGACTTTAACTATGACGTTATAATACATTGTCTAAAGCACAGATTGTATGATTTTTGTTCTTCTTTTATTTTGACTTATTTTGCTCATTAAGCCCAAGAATGCTATGTTTTAATTTCTCAAAAATGTGTCTTTCTTCGTTTTAATGTACTTATACAGTTTCAAAAAGTTACTCATTGGCCACATCTACATTTACAAACTACATTTTGCTTATTTTACTTTTTTAGCCATAATTTATTTTGTATGGGAATAATAAAGAAACTACATTGTTGATAATTTGCTACATTAATGCCAAATGTTTCGTATTCAACTGTACATTGGATTCAAGTGATAAGTATCTAATTATACGCTCTTAATGGATTAAAAAATATCATAATTAACATGCTACCTTTTCTTGAGAGGAAATTTCAGGACATGCCATTTCTGAGGCTTAATGTGGCTTTAAGAGACAATGTTTTTGCATATTAATTCAACGATAATTTTCTAAGATTTTTGTTGCAAAATAGATGATTGTTATAATTGCATTTATTATTATACCATGCTGATATTAAATAGTTTGTACAAATTGATCACAAAACTTTGTTTGTTTATATGTTTATGTATTATTGTATATTAATGTACATTTTCTATGACGAAATCTACATTTTTCTACTCATATTCTTCTTCTTTTTGGTGATGCTTTTATAATAATTTATACGGAATATGTTATTTTTCTATATGCATATAATTAAGTCACAGCGACATTGCTCGACAGCGAATTTCATTATTTCGCGTGTAAAAAATATTGATAAATAAAATTACAATGTATGTTATAAAGTGGTAAAGTAAATGTACTTTAAAAGGTGTTAAAGTAAAATAAGTCATTTGGAGCTAATAAGCCCAATTGGCTGGCTCATTATTATGGTTTATTTATGTAATTTATGATTTCACTTTGAAACACTAACATTCCAAAGAAAGGCGATTTGTATAATTGTTAAATTGTATCTAATATATAATGTCAGCAACTAAACAGTTAGCTTTAAGCTGAAATTGATAAGTATTGTCTCAAATATATGTAGTATTTGATTTATTGTTGTTGTTGTTGTAGTTTTAAAAAATGGAACATGTTACGTCATATATCCCATTATATGGGCACACTTTAAATAGTTGTGAGATAATACTTACATCATTCTTCAAGAATCCAAGATTTTACATTTTCTTGGCTCAAATGCACCAGTTAATTTTATCCAAAGCATTAACTACCAATATCATAATGGGCATTTTAACTTTTGGATTTCCAAATATTTAGTTAATGCATAATGTATCAAACAAAAAGAAATACAAGCACAGTATCAAAACGACTTGATCTTGCTGTGTTTCATATTGTGAAGTCGAGCAATCAATCACGAGTAGTAAGTGTGACAATGGTTTTCCAAAGACTATTGCCAAAGAAGATATGTAGCGTAATGGTTGTGTTTTAGAATGTCTAAATGTGTAATGGTTAGTTATATAAGTATATATCTATAAATGTATGATGTTGAGAGTGTTTCAAATTGTGATTGGGTAAAAAATGGATTAGTATGCATTATATTTTATTTTGGTTATATCCTTTATTCTTCCTTTATAAATGAAGGTCACTGAAATATTATCGAACGTATCTAACGGTTTAACTAACGTGTCCGCTAATGACCGAATTGGGCTATGTGAGGTCTTCCTCAAGCAATAAAAGTTGGTCGTCGTCATATACAAACATATAGTATGTAATCTCCAATGTTTTCAGTCGTTCCGGACAATAAAATTTGTTAGGTGATCAACCTTCTTTAACAGATAATTTAAAAATCACAAGAGTTTGCCTATGAATTTATGAAAAACGTTTGAATATAAATTACAAAATAATATGCAAATAAAATTTTGAAACAAAAATTAGTAAATATTATGTTGTACTAAATCGATAATATACTTATTTTGTGATATGCATGCAAATATATAATTTGATAGGATTTGTTTTAAATGCGTGTACATTTGTATATATATTCACAAAGGCCTGGATGAAAATACTTCACATTCTGCATAATCCATTTATTATCATGCTGAATTAATTGCATATAGATGACTATTATATTATAAGAATTCAGATTTTATAAATATATATTGATATACATGTATAATAAAATATTTTATGCAAGAAAATAAGTACTTGTTCTGTTATAACTCATGAAAATGAATTTAACTTCAATTTCAAGATCTTGTTTATTATGCGTTTCAATTAGATCCTGCAAATTCCAGTAAGATATAAACCATATCATACTGTTTGATAATGAGTCAAATATAATATTTGCTTATTTTCTTTTATTAAATTGATAACACCTTTAAAGTTTTGTTTTAGATCAGGGCCGCGCTTGACTAATTTCATATTTAACAGACAATGCAACATACGCATGTATCGTTTGTGGTACATAATTTGTCGTTGAATTGATTTCTAATAAAAATCACTTATTCCTGTCGGCCATCCTGATTATATTCTTGCACATTTAGGTTTAGCCATTAAATCTATAAAGCGCACTCACACACCCCCTTAAATATTTCGGATGTCCAGTCATATAATAATTACAAAGGCGGCTTAGGACAAGGATATATTATCACTTGATACATGCCACTAAAAGAAATTTCAGTGGCTCTTATTGTAAGAATGAGTTTTTTTTGCGTTTAAATGCGAGTGTTCAAAAAAAGTTTTATTAATATTCAATGTATTTTTTCTCAAGTAATATAAAAACAAAAAGCTGAAAATATTAGCATTTTCAAATGCCGCACCAGGCTTGATAAAGATTCAGACTATATTTGATGAATATTGAGAACCCGGGCAAGTTTCTGTGTGCAAACATTGAAGGTTACAATCATTCTGTTTGAACAAAAACTATGTTACAAAGCAAACATTGCTGGATAAAAGGATACGCAAGTACGGGTTACAGGAATACCAGTTGTTTGGCATGTAATGTTTTTTTTTACCTTTAGGTTGATTGCAAAGAAAAAAGGCAACATTATCAATAAGTGAAATATATTGGAAGCCAACGGCGCATATACACATAGGAGCATGTAGAAAATGTATAAACATGTTGTAATGAAATAAATATAAATTCGTTGATGAAAGGAAAGTATTAAGTGTTACTATCAATAAGTTGTAAGCTCACCTCGTTTACAAACATACTTCACTGTTAAAAATGTTTTCTAGATGCAAGGAACCTTTCCATTTACTTTCATTCGTTCTAAAGCATGTTCAAGGAAATAATTCCAATAATTTATTCATAATTTTATTTTATTTACATCTTAAAAAACCTGATTTTTTTTCTCCCACATGTTGTGTTCCTATTTCCATAAAATTGAGTTGAAACCCCCATTGGATACCCTATAGAAGGATAAAACCCCACTGGAGAAAGACAAACCCCATTTGAGGCCACACATTTGGAAGACTTCCAAAGCGTTTAGTTCTCCAACTTTTTAAAATAAGCTGCCAATTATTGTTTATTTATATCACAAAAATTGTTTCTTTTATCCTTTTCCCTATTTTAATTTCATTTAAAAGGTATTTGAGATTGAGAAAATGTATCCCGGGGATGTTAAAAAGGTTTTCAATAATCTTCACAATATTTGGAATTGGAATGAATCAAATAATTTGATCATTATTTCAATTAATGTTCCTTTTAGCTCAACTTTTCGCATAATGATCGAGCTAATGCAGTCACCCATTTGTCGGCGTCGGCGTTCCTGTGGTTGAGATTTTGTGTGTAAGCTGGTATCGCCATAACTACCGAAGAAAATGGATTTAAACTTTACACGCTTGTTCCATGTGATTATCTAACATGATTGGCGCAAGGCTCATAATTCTGATTTGATGTTTTGCTTATTTATGCCCGATCTTGGTCTTAGAAATTCTTGGTTAAGAGTTTGCGTGTAAGCTAGTATCCCCATTACTACTGAAAGTAATGGCTTGTTCATTTGTTCTCTATGATTATCTGACATGATTAGCACAAAGCCCATAACTCTTATGAGATATTGCGCATATTTATGCCTCTTTTGCGACTTATGAATGCTTGCAAGTAAGTTTTTGCAAGTAAGCTGGTATCTCCATAACTACTGGATTGTTTGTGCTCTTTTGGGACAATTTTATGCATCAATGATAATCAAGCAGTGATTTACTCGATAAAACATCTTAATAACAAGCATTTGTACCTTTTCAGACAATTTTGTGTTCTCTTATAGGTAAGCATTATTATTCTCAATGAAACACCCTTGTGACAACTTTTTCGGACTGTGATGCGTCGCTTCCCTCCGACAGCTCTTCTTTTGCATCCCGTCAATGAAAAGCCCTAGCTGTGTAATAACTCGATGACCTTTATCGAATCTAAGGCTCTGTTCTCTGTAATTCGGAATACAATATGGATGTGTGATAAAACAATGTTCAATTTCGATTTCAATTAACGTTTGTATGTGTTATAGAGCATACAGTATTGCAACGTGTATAAACAAAGTATTTGTGTATATTTTCACATTTGTTTGTGTTATCTTTAATTGCAACACTTAATGCACAAAGCTCTGTCTGACAAGATGTATTTCCGGAGTTGTAATAAATCATTTGTGGTTATTCAATGGTATCGTGAAAAATAATTAAAATAATTCGATCACATCTCAACGTTACTATGTTCTTGCTCCGGATGACTATGCATACTGTTTTTTTTGCTTGAATCCAAACATCATCCAGTATTGTATAGTTATGCTGATGTACTTATTAGATTAAAATGTTGCACATGGTTTTATGAACACAATATTAGATAAAAACAATTTAACTCATTCTGAAATAAAATATCTGACGACATTTATAACGAATTTATCGGTTAAGTCTATAATTAAAATTGCTTAATTGTTTTTGCTATGCAATACATGCTCAAGTTATGCCGATCTACATCACGCAAATGTTAGAGGTTTCAACAGTATATTCGAGAATGTGATGGTCTCATAGTATGAAATATTTTTGTATGTTGTGGTTTAAAGTTGTTTAGATCATAGTTATATATTCCTATTTGACCGTCTTTTTAATAGTCTTATAACGTTAATCATAACAAGGTAAATGCTGTATACATAACAACAAGTTATAGGATAAGAAAACAGAAGAATACAAACTTGTTTTCTCATTTTAATTTCAACGCAATTACACATCTATGTTTTGTTTCATATTACACAACATAACAACGTATCTAGCTTCTTTGCGATCGTATATCAACAAAAAATGTATATATTTCATGTCTGGTTTGGTTTAAAAGGCGGACTTACTTAGTTTAGGTCATATGGCTCCTAAAATAAGTTCATCAAAAATAAAAATAACAAGCACTAATACAATCAAAGGAATGAAGAAGACATTGTAATATTAATATTCACAATCATAAGGAATACAAAATGCATTGTTCCATGTAATATGCACTTCTACCAAAGAAATGATTACGTTTGATATCATTGCAGTGGAATCATGACTGTTTAAGGTCAAATATAGTTTAACAAACAACAGTGATAATTAAACTAATCATTGCCTAAACTTATTAGACAGGATTTCCAATCACTTTTTATAATGTTCAAGTGGTGTCATTTTCCTCTTGGTACTCGGTTTCTTCATTTCCAACTTTGATTTCAACAATACAGTCAGAGCCCGAGTACACCGGTAAATTTAACTCGTTTTTCTGTTCAAGTGTTTTTGGCACAAAACGTCCTCCAAGAAAGTGATGTTTGCCTTTGAACAACTTCGCACACATTTTAGGAGCGGTGAGGGAGATAAGCATCTCTGGTTTCAGTCCATTTTCATCGCCTGTCTCAATATCCCATCCTGAAAAATCATCAAGTTAATAATACCAAAACCTTATTACCTTCAATATAATACAATTGTTGAATTGGAAAATTGTTTAAAAGAAAAACCCCCCCCCCCCAAAAAAAAAAAAAAACTAGGGATGAAACAGTTTTGAGAATAATACTAACACAATCAATAATATTGACTTAAATCGATTCCCCATTAGGTGCCTTTCTAGTTATCATGTGTACCTGGTTGTTGTCGGCGGTTAACACTCGTTAAAGCCGCTCTATTCTCTCCATGGAGACATACACATGTAAATATCTTAAAATATTTACTATTTCAACTTATACCATTCATAACAAGATTAACGTTTAGGAAGATGTTTTGCTAAGCTGTAGGTGCGTAGTGATATCAAACCTATAAAGGATCCTTAGAGGTACATTATAAGAAAATTATCAGTGCTGGAGTTCAGGAGGGAGTTACGATCTGTATCACAGCACCTACTATTATCTTTTAATGATATTCCTCATATCCCAAGTTCGTCGTAAGCATACATTGGATAAGTTTGTTATATCAAAAGTTTTCTAGCGATGAACGTCATAGATGTATATACACACGAGCTAATTACAGCTGTGTTCCTTTTTACCTTATACTATTGAAGCAGGTCAACATTTGGGCCATGTATAACCAACATTGTGTCTATATAATTAACCTGTGTTAGCTGTTAGTAAGGTCACTATTATTTTTTCTTTTAGATAACGTACAATTATAAAAGGATCTCATGTTAAAAAAAATCACTGATAGAGTCATTTTATGAGTTTCACCTAGGAAAATATATAAATAATCTTAATTCCTATTCTAAGAGATAACTTTGTGTTCAGTGGTAATAGACTACGAAGAAACAGCACAGAACAATTACTATCAGTATTATCTCTTCTTTTTTTGTTCTATTTTGTTATCTTTTGTTGTTGTTTTGTTTTGTTTGCTTTGGAACAATAAGTATACAAGATCATTACCAGAGGGAATATCTATACTGCAGATGGGTAATTCAATTTTCTTTAAGGTTTCAATAACAGATTCCATTTCTGGTTTAATAGGAGCTGCAATGTAAATAAGCATTGTGTCAGAAATATAAAGAGAACATTTACAAATAATGAATATAAATATATAAATATACAAAGTAATACACACGCACATCAATTTAATTCTCACAAAACCTGTTTGAGTTTCTTAGATTTTGTAGAACTTAAGTCATTTGTTTTCTCCTTTTCTTCTTTTGATCGACTCATCTATACTTTTCGCTTTCTTGAAAATGTTTTCCTTACTCTTCTTGACATAAACAGACGGTGAAATGAATTCGAGTAAATATATCTAGCAATTATTACAAGCCCTTCAAAGAAAAAACATGTACATGCGCTCAGAGGTCAAAGATTGATACTAAGCAAATTAGTATGCTCAGAAGTTCGCTTTGCACGGCAAAATTGAAAAAAAAGTCGGATATTCGGTTCGATAAAGTCTGTCCATTGACGATATTGGCAAATGAAAAAAACCGCAATGATCCCCTAGCAACGGGTTAAAAAGAAATTGCTTTTTGAATATAAAATGATATTTAAAACCTGATACTGCAGTGTATATTTTTTAGATTTTTATGATGGTTACATACTTCTTATTGTGTTTTTTTGTTGTTCTTTTGTTGTTGTTTTTTTAAATAGCGTGGGGAGTAGACACATGTAAATAAAATGACGTAAATGTCCACCTGCTGCGCACAGCAGTTATTCTAGATAATAGTCAATATTGCGATGTAAATATTTTTACATTTTCTGTCAAGCTACATGTGTTTTTGATATATATTAAATTGGGAAATATTTCATTAGGAAAACGCAACAAATAATCTTATTTCATTCTACGCACTTTTAACAATTATTTTGTAATCTTGTCTGATATAATTTAATCATCATATTCTTAAAAGTAAAGGTTCTAAGATAAACGGAAATAGAAAAAAAAGAAATACATCACATCACATTACCTTTAAAGCCTAATCCAAACAATGCATCGACAACAAAGTTATACGAGTCTGTGATTAGATTTGGTTCAGACGGAAAAAATGACAGAAGAGGAATGTCTAAGCTTTCACACTGTCTAAACAGTCTCTTAAACAAAGGCTTGTTTGCTCTCCGTGGATAAAATAAAGTCGGCTTATATCCCTGAAAAAAATAATAATGCATTAAGGCATTTTATTACGTGAGAAAAAACGAATTATACATTACAATATAGTTAAACTCCATGGTTGTTGAGTTTGAATGACAAATTAGACAGCTGAATCTGATGATGTAGCTTTAACATACCCATAAACCGAAGTCATTCCTGCTCATTTAGAAAGTTTCTTTTCGGACGAAAGCGTGGACGGAAGCTAATACAGTAAATCCCACTTAAAACGATGTCGTTTATAACGATATACCGCTAATAACGATGCTGTTGAAGTGATCCCGACTCTTGTTTTCAAATTAGTTGCCTCTCGGATATAACAATATAAATTAGTTGGTACCCTTGAATATCTTTATAAATTGAGTTTATTGTATGTCATCGTACGCTTAATAAAATCATGAACATACATCAGTTGAAAATTTCAGCGGAGATTATTAATCATATTCATTTCAGAAAAATATCTTTCATTCATAAAGCTTCTTTACACTGATCCTCTACGAAATAAGATTTTACAGAAAATTCCATTAGAAACCATAGCTATCATTTGTATCGAGTTCGTTATAAAAGAAACGTTTTTGTGATAATACAGAAAAGCATAAGTTATATTTTCTTACAATAAGTGAATAAACACACATATCAATTTCCATGACAACGAATATAAGATTTATATTAATGGCCACATCTGGCTTTAGAAGTAAATCATATTTCATTTTCCGTTATAAAGATCTAAAATGCAATTAATGATCTTTTAGTAATGGATTTATAGCATGTTACATGAATATGTTAAAAACTAAGGGAAGTAGCACTGGACTGCAATTATGTGTGGGATAGATAGTAAAACGTAGACAAAGTAGTTTTACGACTTCCATACAAAATCACTGTAATAATATCAATTGCCAAAGAGCAAAATGAGAAAAAGCTATATAGCCAATTAGTGATTTTTTTTGCAACTGCAACAAGATGTTAGAAAATCTTGAAACAAAGTGATCCCTCGGAAGCATTAATTGCAAAAAATACAGACTCGGTATGTTTTGTTTGTTTTGGGTTTTACGTCACATCGACACAGTACAGGTCATATCGCGACGTTCCAGCTTTACTGGTGGAGGAACACCTCAGGTGCCCTTCCGTGAATTATTTCAGGCTTGAACGGGCACCTGAGTAGAACCAACGACGTTCCGTAAACTAGCTGAATAGCTTCCTCACATGAAAGAATCCAAAGTCCCTGTCGGGATTCGAACCCACAGCGGTGAGGGGCAAGTGGTTTGAAGTCAACGACCTTAACCACTCGGCCACGGACGTGCAAATCTCTCACGCCCTCCAGCACCGGCTAAAACACGGTACTCAATTCTCAACACGTTATAGTACTGGCATCAATGATCACGAAGGACCAGAAAAAATATAACAACACTGAAGTGGAGAACGTGGCATTTTTACAGCTGCCACACAACACTTGATACCTGGTGTTGTGAAGTATAAATCTGGAAACAAAGTGATCCCTCGGAAGGATTAATCAGTGATCCCACGGAAGGATTAATCACAACAAAATTACATGAAAATTGCAGGTTCGGTTTGATTGAGTCTGTACATGAGGGATAATGAACAAGTGCAAGTCACACTGAAAGTGCAATAACACGTTTTTAATATTGACTGGAGTAAACATCAAACAGTACAAAATTTTAAAACAATTACGTACAAACATTTTCAGATGTCTGGCACACACAAGCCCATCTCCGCCATTATGGCCCGGTCCACAACAAACAAGAACAGCACGATTTTCTCGTGACATCACTTCCACTGGATAACACTTAAATCAAATAAATAAATTAAATTCATAAATATGTTTTGTAATATTTTATTTCCAAATGACAATACATGAATTGGAATATTGCAACATAATAATGATAAAGGTCATTAAGTGGTAAAACTTCAAACATATGTTGAAAGAACATACAACATATAGTTGAAAATAGTTGAATCACAGTGTTTCGAAATGCTGCAACGGTACAATGATGAAATGTTATCAATAGTCGAGTCAATAATACCATTTTATTAACTGTTTTTATTTTTGCAGACATTTTACAATTATTCTTTATTACACATTAACTTTGTCACTGTAAAACGTCATGTTTACCAGTATTTATTGCTGTCTTGGGTGACCGATTTAAGGTAAATTCTAGATGATATCTACAAAAATTTCGTTTGGATTCAGGAGTTATTTATTGTTCAAGCGTAGGAAATTATTAAATCAAAGGGAATTACGGCAAAATGAATTTATTTGACTCTCCCCTTTTCACTCACTATTTTAGATGGGCATAATGCCACTTTAGGAATACAAGTGTCCTATCAACTTTTGAATAATTGAAAGTATAAAGAACTAAACACATGATACTTGTCTTATACTAACAATAGTCCTATAAGACCATGTGTCAGCGTTTTAGTATCACACAATGCATTTTAAACGTTTTTATTTCTTACATTTTAAAAATCATCGTATGCAGTATTACAATCCAGAGCTCAGACACAAAACCGTTCCCGTTGATAGCTGCATTGATCGTACAATAAAAGCGGGAGTAACAGGTTAACCCGCTCTAAGTGGCAACACATTTAAATAGCAATGATAGTCATATACATGCATCTTGCTTGTGTTTTGTGTCAAATAATTTTCTATAAATGCTTTAATACATGTAATAATCCCGTTTTTCTTTATTTAAATATCATGATAATGTATGCGCAAATACCATAAAAATCCAATGGAATCAAAAGACCTTGCGAACAATTAAGTTCAAATTATGTAAATGAACTTACAGTTGCTATAGCAACAGCGCAACTATATCCCGACAACTCCAGAAGTTGATCAACGGTTAAAGCATATTCTGTGAATAGTTCTTGGTTTATATCGTGTGCTTCTTTCTGACTGAAATGAAATAAAATATCAATTCATAATGAATAGCTGTATGTAAAGACTTTAAACTGATGGTTTCAAGGGAATAAAACTTCACAAATTACAACAAATTGTCTGTAATAATGATTACATGTAAGAACAGTGAAAACCTTATATAGTTGTTTTATGTTTCAGATTTAATGGTAGAGCTCCTATTCTTAAGTTGTGTAAGTAATAGATGTTAATAAAAAGAAAGAAAGAAAAAATCGTTATATGATATCGGTAGTATTAGGTAACCAAGCAACGGTTCTTGAAATGCATGTACCTATTTTTAGAACATTCTTGACACGTGACGAAGTGTTGATTACGTTTACGTATTTACAGATTTACTGATATCATCATTATTATTATTATTATTACTATTATCATTATAATTATTATTATTACTACTATTATCGTTATAGTTATCGTTATCATTATCATTGTTATCATTATTATTATTATTATTCCATGCATACCAAATGTAAATTCAAGAGCAATTGAATTTCGATTTATTTCTTTGACAATCACTTGACATGATTTGAATCGATTTTAATTTTATGACAATGCTTTGACCTCGACTCGTTTTTTTTTCAAAAGTGTTTTTAAACAAAACATGAAGCGTATTAAGTCAATCTAATGTTCTTCTTTTACTTAATTGGGCGCCATCTTCCGTTTGTAGTATAACTAACTGATGATCTATTCATTAAGGCAGGAAACAATAAACAAGATTACTTGCGTTAAAAGAGAAAGCCCGAATGTTGCCATACTTGATAACATTGATAAAGTGGTAGATGCAACAATCTCCCATCTTAGTAAATATCACCCGTACATGTGTAATCAGTAATTCAACATAAAAAGTGACATTATGCCCATCCAAGAGTAAATGGTGAATTGAAATAACTTCACGATTTGTCAGTGTTTTTTTTTTAATCACTTTCATCATAAACGTCATTGAAGTAAGCAGTAACGCACGTGACCCATCTATAAATGGCCTTTGAACATTACAGGTAATGCTCATTTTTAAAGGAAAAGAATAAGGCTGTCTTTTTATATTTAAGGCAGTTTGATATTATTGTTCAACCTCTTTTAAAAAGGCCAGTGTTTTGAAATATACAATTGATTTGTCTCATATTTACATAACAAAATGAACATAATGTCAAAAAAAAAATTGTTAAATATAGAATTCAGGAAATCCTCAGGTGTATTCTTTGTACGACGGAGATGATGAAACCTAAAATGTGAAACCTACGTGTCATTCCATTAAAGTTGGTGTTTGGTTCCCAAATAAAAGAAAGTCTGTGAACTTATAAAAGAGGGGGGAAAGGGTCACGAAGTCTGTGTATCACACATTTAAAACAGGCAATGAAGTAGGAAAACTAAATCAACCAGTATAAAAAATTCGCAAGTGAAACATATAAATACATGAACTAGCATCAAAGTTAGAAAATAACAAACATTATATTATATCTTACACTTTTTAAAACTTTGTTTAAATGTGTTATTTTTCAAAACAGGTAATATAAATAGTCATGTATGATTTGAATAATTGTTCTGGGAAAAGGGAAATTCCTCGAGATCAATAATATAATTATTCAGAGCAAAACTTTACAAATGAATATCACGAAATTTCAATCTACTCGTTAGAGATGATGTAAAGTGCAGCATTTTTTATCCTCCAACAAAGGCTTATTTCAATATTTAATACTAAATGGAATAAAGTCAAGGATCCCAAATGACCAATGAAATG